ACCGGATTCCCTCTTGCCCAATATTCTTTTTACAATCAAATATAAACCCAAGGTAAATACGTCTGTTAACATTCTTGTGCTTTCTTTAAATTTGGTAAGAATTTATATTGGGTAGCAATTCTTGTGTAATTCTAGCTGCTTTCAGAAATACTACACATCAATACAGCTCATATCCACCGATAGATGTTTTGTAGCAAATACACAACGATTAAGACTTTGGATTCTTCATACATTTCTGCGTAGTCCTATCAAATCTACATATTTGTAAAGCTAGTTGTTGGTGTGTTCATGGATGTTATTTTCTGCTTCACTCATTTTTCACTTTTGGCATTTAGTTGGGAAATTATGTAGTTGTATCCTCTTAATGAGGCTTTTTCTTTTCTAAAGATGCTCTTCCTTTATCAAGCCAGTGCTAAGTCGTCTTTGCTGATTGTAGTCAAACTTTTTAAGTGGTACAGCATTTAAAAGAAAAAAAAGAACATTCCCAAAGGAAATTGCTGTTTCCTAACTTAAAATGGTTTAACGTAGAATTTCATAGGACTAAAAATGTTATAGTTAAGATAGTTCAAGGCTATGAGTAAGGCAAGTTTTGTAGAGAAACCAGCTGGTCTGTTATTAGACCAGCTGATGTACAGGGAGATGACTGGAGATGTGAAAGGGTGTCTGTGTCCTCAAACTTTGTTTTAGCGGAAGCGATTTTTGTGTTTGGTTCAGCTGTTTCTCATACCCTGCCTTGTTATCTTGTTTTCCTGCTGGGAGAAAAACTTTGTCTTTAAGCTGTTCAGTTCTCTGTAATTGTTTACTCTAAAAGGAAATTCACGAATGTATCAGTATATTAAGAGATTCATCATTTTGAAGAATGTAAACTTGTCCAAATATCTTTTAGCAATTAGAATTGCCGGAGCTATTTCCTCACGGTCACAGTTGTGCTGTATGTGGCAAAGTCAAATGCAAGAGGCACAGGTAAATTAAATACGTGACACCGGTAAGCTTAGTATTTCTTACATTTTGCACATATCAGTAGGAAACTTTCAATTAAATATTGTTACACCTACTTTTCCATGCTCTCCTGCAGACCTACTTTGCTTCTGGAAAACTATCAGCCATGGCTGGATCTGAAAGTGCCTTCCAAGGTTGATGCATCACTCTCGGAGGTAATTGCTGCTTCATTTCTTTAGTACCTTAAAATTCAGTGAGTTTTTATTACATATCTCTTAGATCTATTATTTCTGGTTCAGTAGATAGTTCAGATGTACTTCCCATGTATGTTAACTTGTTCCTCTAAAAGTCATATCTAAAGGATACATGCCGGGAGCAGAGAGGCGAGATGGCCTACTTGTTAACACAGATGTGACTGTTCCTGTGCCTAGGACATAAAAGAAACATCTATATGAATTGAGAAGTGTGTAGGAAAGAACAGTTATAATTAAACATGTCTGATTCTCAAAAAGTTAAGGATTTCAGCCTGCTTAGTTTGTTGAAGTGGAGGTTAAGAGATGATTTGCTCCAGCTACAAAATTTCTGTAATGAAGATGATAATGTGATGGTAGCTATTTAAAATCATCAGACAAAGCTGTAACAAAATCTGTCTGAAAAAGAAATTAGCGGCTTTACTCAAAGAAGAATAGCATAAATACCTGTTTTTTAATAAGACTGTAAATCAGGAATTTTGTTTTGGTTTTTTTTGGTTTTTTTCCTCTTTAAAAAGAGCTATCTGAAGAGCAATTTTTCTTTGGGTTTGTTTTTTTTTCCTTGATTGGTAATTGATGAAATATATTGGCAGCTACGTAGAAAGTCTTGTGTCCTTATATATAAACAAGCACATATGTAGCTTAATCTCCATTTATTTAGCATTCCAACTTTGGAGTCCTATGGTAGGAGGATGGACAGTTGGCATGTCAGAAGTGAGAAGATTCTTGCATGTCAGCTCTCGCAATTAACGACATGGTGTATGAAGTCAAAGCTACCTGCATTTGTGGTATAAGCTAACACTTTAGTTCAGCTGTGCGTGATGGTGTCCTGGGCATGGCCCACAGCGAGAGTAGCAAAAGAATGAAAACCTTAAGGGAAGGGAGGGATGGACAGTTGCAGAATGCTTTTAAAAAAACACAGATAACAACTTGTTGACTTCCCTTGGTTTAATGTAGTGACTTTCCTGTTCAATTTCAGAAGCAAACATTTATTGTTTTAAAATTACTTAATCTATTAATTTTTTTTTTTTATAAGTTTGGGCTCAAGTGTATTAAAATAACAATATTGCTGAATATAATTTCAATAGGCTTATTTTTTTAAAGCTCTTGTTTTAATAATAGAATTTAAAATAAATGCTTCTATGCATGTAATATTTTTAGAATTTTGGGTAGCAAATAGCTGTGACAGTTTACCAAAGGATGTGGTAAATGCTGAAGGACTGGAAATTTTCCTGTTTAGCTTAAATCGGAATTTAATGCTAAAAAAGTTCTTTGTAGTATGTTATTCATAAGAGATACAAGTAGATACCATAGTTATCTTCTAAGACTGATCTTTAAAATGTGTTGATACACATTAGCATTTTGTATTTGATTGCTATTGTTCTGCTTTTACCAAAGTGGTGTGGGCTTTTCTTTGCTGTTTCTTTTTACTTCAGTGGTATGTCCCTGACCCCGCTTTATTTAGCGGTGTAGACATGGCTTTTGTATATCTATGCCATGTTTCTCATTCCTTTCTTTTCTTTGGGTGCTTAACTAGAAGGAAGTGCCAGACCCAGGTTCTGTACCTTCCTGGGACAGTGAGCCAGGATAATCATCTCTGATGGACCCAAACAGGCAGTCTTATTTGAGCCACCATTTTCACTTGTGTAGGATATTATTTGGAATGAGAAGTCTCATTGCATTGTTCCCCATTGCAACTCTTCTATACTAGTTAAAAGGGTACCAGGAGTTCTGCCCATACCGTATTCCTCTTGATCATCTGCTCTGGGGATGCAGCATGTAATGCATGGCTGGAATTGGATAGCCTGCATAGGGTTGGAAGGAGAGACTGCTCTTATTTTCTTTTGTGGGTTGGTGATACATTAGAGGGAAGCTGATACAGTGAGAACTGAGTTAAGATTAATGAGATTCCAAAGGAGTGCAGAGTGCAGCCTGCTTCTGAAAAGCAGATTCTTCAAATACTTGGAATAATTCTGGGATTTTTTTATTCTGTATTACTTTTTCTAGTTCTTCCTTTGCAGGTTGAAGAATTTTGGCAACGTTCTCGTTTCCAAACGTTTGTAATTTGAATCAGTTGTATAGTCTTTAAGCTTGTGTTTTCAAGTGCTTAAAGAGTAATTTAATATACACTTGAATCAGAAGAAATCCAAGTTTTTGTCACAAGTATGGATTTTTCTCACTTGGATTGCGATGACAGTTTGTCTCACTTTGCAAATTCTTAATCTTTTGCAGCCTTGTTTTGGTTATCTAGCTGCTGTACATGGTTTAGAAAAATAAGAAAAACCTGTGCTTGGACTTTCCTCCCCCCTTCATTTATGTTTATTATTATAGTTGAACTCTAAACTGCTTCAACCATGCATCTATCAATATTTGATAGTATCCTGTGCAAAAATAGCACAGTGACGTAAGTATAATTTTGTTTCCAGTTTCTAATCCATTGTGCTTTATGTTAGTTTCCCCGATATTTTCTTTCTTTTTCAATTAGGTTGTGATATCTGTTGGTCAATTTTATGTTGTATATAATTTCAGGTGTTACAGGTTGTGTAAAGAAGAATTTAATTCTTTTATTCGGTTAATGAACTCGGCTCTTTCAAACTATTTGAGGGATGGTTGCAAGTCAAATGTGCAGAAGGCTGCTCAGCCACTCTTGATCAGCATCATGAAAGAAATGCCTTAGTGGATCAAGGTGCTGTCAGTTGATCTCACAAATTTTTCTCTAATTCTTAAGTTCTCAGGTTCTTGACTTGGTTATGGGACCGGAATCCTGTATGGGGTTTTTTTTTTTTTCCCTAAAAGTAAGAAATGGACAAATGCATGACAAGAAATCAGTTATTGTCTGAACGTACTCCTTGCCAGTCCTGAACTCTTGTAGCAACACAGTGGCCTGCATGCTTTTTTACTGGGAATCGCTTATTCTACTCTCAGGAAGTGGTCTCAGCTATCTAGTTGTACAGTCTTTTAAGGCTTTTCAAATTGTCCTTGGAGTTTACTTATCAAATTCTTGCTCCTTTCTAATCTGATTCAGCCTAGTAGGTCTACCCTGCTACTTAATCCTTCATCACTCAGCTCTACAGTTCCTCCTCCTGACAATTGGTGTCTGTTCTGTGGCAGTCCACAGAAAGCTTGTCTTGGCAGCAATAGACTGACTAGCTTGCAGGGTTGCAGTGCATGCTAGAAAATAATTTCTCTTTGTTTTTTCTTCAGCTGCTGCTCATATTGCTACCTGCTGCATTTGGTTTTACACTTGTAATCTCTTTCCAGTTCAAAACTGCTCACACATAGTAGAACCAGTCATTTTGTAAAATGCTTGAAAAATAGGTAGGCTTTAAATGAAATGACTCATCATTTGTATTTAAAACCAGAGAATAATACAGAAAAGGAAATTGCTTATTATTAGCTGCCATTCTTTGAGATGTCCCGTCTACTCTGTTGGCAAGTGTGCGTAGTGTGAGCAATTGAGCTTGAATAATATTGTTGGTATTGCTAGAATGGAAGTGGGTACACGTTGTCCTGCTTTCCTGGTGCTTTACAAAAGTGCAGTGGATGATATGACAGGCTTTTTTCTGACTTACAGAATCACACTGGTATAGTCTGGAGGGCTCATAGGGTTCATGGGAAAACTGTATGGACTGTATGCCTTGAACTCCAGTTACTGACAGTCAACTCCTTGAGTGCTTGTATTTTGCAGTATGCATGATTTCACACTGTAGCTCTCTCTTAGCTTCAGTACAGTGCCTTGGTGCAGTGGAGCATCATACGTAACTGCCTCTGCCATGCCATATATTTAGTAAATGTGCAAACAGGGACTGCTTTCTGTGTGTCCAGGATCAAGGCATTTTTTATTAAGGCCATATAGAGAACTTGCGTTCTAGTAGAATGTGTCTTGACCTCCGATATCAGGACCAGCGATATGATGACTTCAAGTGTATTTTGAGTTAGTTGTCTGTCTCTGTGCATACTGCCTCTAGGTCTTTGGCTAGTGGGATTATCTGCATGGCATTGTCCTGTGGAAGCATTACCATAAAGCCCACCCTTACAGTGTGGCTGTGGAAGCAGGAGATAACAAGAGAAACACTGGCAAGTCTGTGAAATGGTTCAAGTGGAAGTCATTTACTACAAACATGGAATGAATCTCAAGGAGACATTATCCAGAGTGGGATGGGTCATCAGGTCTTGCATCTTTCCTTCTTTCCTTGCTGATTTAATAACCACAGGAAGATGATTCTCAGAACCATGCGTGTTTGGCTTAGCTAGCAGTGAGAAGGAGATCTCTTTGTTGGAAACAATTCTTCTAGCAGCTTTAGAAGCCTTGGGACTGTAGGCAAAGAAAGTGCCACCAAATTATGTTAGCATCTGATGAACTGAAATTGCAGTGACACATGCCTGATGGACATGCTTTCAGTTCTGAAATAGAAGTCATGGATGAAGAAAGCTCTTTCAAGAGGAGTGCATTGTACTCCCTTTGAGTACACTGTCTTGTGTTTGAAGGCTACCCAAGTGCACTTTCCACTCCAAGTGGAAGATGGTCTGCTGTTGTTGCTCGTGATGGGGAGGCGCATAGCAAAAGTTAGAGGAAGAAAGAAAAGGGATCCTTTAACAGATAGATGCACGTATGGATTTTTCTGCAGGCGTTTGCTTTTGAAAGGCACTTTTTTGAAAGAGTCTGCGGTTTGAGCCCTGAAAGAGGTTTATTTTGTTAGAAACTCTGCATGAACAAGAATAATGTTGCAATACCTACAAGACTGAGATTTCTGTGGATCAAATGGTGGTTTATATACTGGCAGTGCTATGGAAGGCATCAGGGAAATCGTTTTGAGTAGTCTGATCTATTGCTCTTAAGGCCAATGGACTGCGTTTGCTGACTGGAGCTGGACGTGATCTCCCTCCTGTTGTCTGAAGATTAACTTCCAAAAAAGATTCTCTGGGATTTCTTGATTTCTTCTGGCCTGGAAAGTAAAGCATCTGTTGTCATCTTCCCTCATCCTTCCACCCCGCTTTTAATGGAAATATGAGATTTGGGGGTGGAGGAGGGGGAGGTGACATCTAGCTTACCCATCCATCATCAACACATGATCATATTACAATTTCAAGATCTATTACTGCTATAGCATGTAGGGGTAGGAGAAAAGACATTGGTGACTTTGTATGGTCCACAACACAGACATCTAAATTGCCCCAAACTGGAAAACATCCCTTCAGAGAGAGCGTGAAGGAACAGAATTTCTCCTTCACCCTTAAAAACAAAGGGAGGAAAATCACTGAAATGGAAAAATTGCAAAAGGGAGAGTATCTTATAAAATTTGAGTAGGCGATATTCTTAGTAGTGAAGACAGAAAAAGAGTATTCATCAACTGCTCAAGGCTGAAGAATTGAGAGGAATTAAAAAGGCTGTGGCAGAGCAGCCTCACATAGCAACACACGTATTCTCTCTTACTACCCTGATCAGCATTGATGCTGCCGAGCACAAACTGATCTCTAAAGCAGTGACTCCAACTGAGGGATAGGCTGCAACAGGAGAAGGTAGTGTGGAGTGTATCTTGGGGTTATAGTGAAGGAGGAAAAAATCTCAAGAAAATTTCATCCTTCCTTCTCCTTCTTGTTTCTTTTTCTTGGCACTGTCTGACTTTTCCCCTTCCCTTCAGAAGTTTTCTTTTTGCTAATCATGTTGCAAGGACCGTAACAGTTACTTGAAACTTTTGTGTAGCTGTAAGAAGAGGTGCCAGAGCTGCAGTCTGGCTAGCAGCACACCTTGTGTATATGGTGGTGGCAGCCCATTGATTGAACAGGGGAGGTGTCACCTCCCCTGCCTCCCTTCCTGCTGTGACATTGAAAGCCAAGCTGAAGCAGGGCGTGCCTGTGGCATGGCTGCAACAGCACTGGTTCTTCCTGATTAACCCAGGTTTTCTGGGATGGAAAAGGTAACCATGAGCTTGGCCTGTGAGGAACAGATCTGATGGAAAGGGTGGAAAAGATTCTCCTACAGAGATCCATGTAGGTGGGATATAAGGGGCTAGGAACAGGAGAGAGAAGGCCGTGAGGATACATGTAGGACAAGGACTTTGGGAAGTGCTCTGGTTGGGGTTTCAGGAGATGGCTGGACTTAAGGCAGGCTTTCTTGAAAGCTGTGGTGCAGAATGTGGAGAAAGCAGAATGGCTTTCCTATAAATTGCTTTTTAGGATTTTTCTTTTGCTTTCTTTGTGAGTGGTGGGTGTACAGGATGAACTGTACCACTTGGAGAGTGAGGGACAGTTGGAAAGGGTGGAGGTTTGGATGGAAAGGTATAGAAGCGTGTGTAAGTGTCGGAAGGGTAGCTGTGCCTGTGGGAGACTCCACACTACATCAGAAAAGAACAGGGACTGATCTGAAAAATTGGGGAAGGGCTGTCTGAGGTAAGATTACATTTTTCACAGCATTCGCCTAACAGAGTGGCCACAGCACTGTGCTTCGCGTCGATAGTACTAGTGGCAGCCATTTCATATTGATATCTGATGAAACCATCACTTTGTTGCTATTTGCCCAAAGTATTGATTATTATGTGAAATGATTGATCTCGCAAGAGGATCACAATGTACACATTTGTATGTTAAAGTTTTATGGTGTATGAATTATGTTCTATGAGTTTTGGAAGGTGTTTGTGTTTTTAACTCTTCTAACAAGGATTTACATAAACTGTTTATTTTGTAACATGGTTGTCTTTTTTCTGCACAGGTGCTTGAGTTGGTCCTGGAAAACTTTATTTATCCATGGTACAGGTATGAGCTTTACCTAGAAGTTACTATTTTAGAATATCATAAATATCCGTCAAACTGGTTAAGAAATAGTCACCTGAAAATAAACATTTCTGTTTCTTTAGTAAAATATAAAGCATACTTTTAAGTGCATCATTTTATTGTCTTTTAGCAGAGTAGAATAGATCTTTTAATAATTTAGGCATGATAGAGGTGGTTGTGAAATTTGTATTTCATCCTAAAACCGCTTTGAGATTATTCACTTCTACATGTTAATTTTCTAATAACTCTTACTTGGAAGTACATATGGCTTGATTAAAACCTGTGTAAAAACTCAAAAACCCCCAGAAATTTATTCCCAGACTAGAAGCATACTGATCTTTCATACTGCTTTAAAAAAAAAAATCACTTTACATTTTTTTTAAAAACAAAAATTCCACTTTTAATTAATACAGAAAAGGTATTTTGAATACATGTTGTGGCCACCTTCTTGCAGAACATCTGGTGATTTGCTGAGTTTTAAGACTGTGAGTGGTTATGCTGAGCTGAATAGATTAGTACTGTGTAAATAACCTTAAAATAGTGTATAAAGAAAAGACTATGGCTAATTCTTTTTTTTTTTTTTTTTTTTTTTTTTTCTCTTGTACCTTTATATATTAATTAGTGCTTCAGAGTACTTTGTAAGAAGATACTAAACATATTTTTAATTGACATGCTGGCATCAATGTGTTAAAACAACGTTTTGCCTTAATTCTGAATTTGACTTTTTCATTGGATGGAAAGGTTCAGTTTTGTGCTACAAGAAATTTATACTTTTTTTCTTTTACTCTACACTGGTTTTTTTTCTGTCTCTCTGGGATCTAAAATTTTCTGGGTAGACTTCTTTGCCTGATTGGTTTTTAATTGTGGCCATCTACCTTTCTGTTATGAATACACTGAAGTATAAAACTTCACTGCTTATGCAAACAGCAGAGGGAGCTTTAGCACTGTGTATTGTGAATGATCAAGTTGGAAAACTCAAGGTTTTTAACTTTCAAATACAGAAAACTAGAGCACGTTCCATTGAGCTGTTTGATAAAGTAACAAATGTAAGGGAACCATCTTCTGTATTTCATAATTTGAAATCAGATAGGATTTTTTGGCTGGTGGAAGGTGTCTTCAGTGTCTTTGTTTTCCACTGACAAATAAAGTTGGATTCCACATATTACTTACATCTCTGAACCCAAGACAGCGGAAGTCTGGAATACATTGTATGGTGGGGATAGTATTATGCATAGTTAGAAGTGCAGTGCAAAATATACTTGGTATGGAGCCAGCCAGCCTAGATTCTGCTACATCTTGCCCTCTGGTGAGCTGTATAGATGTTCCTGCATTGTCTTTAGTTTTACATGGCTGCATCTCCGGATTTTGAACTAGCTCCATAAATTCATACCATGCTGATCAGACTTAAAAAACTTTCCATGAACCTGAAGTACTGGGAGTTCAGCGAGCTATAGTGCAGTGGTATCTGAGTAATTCTGCAGTAAACAACTTGGTCCTGAAAGGCTTACTGGTTTCAGCTTAACAGTAGTACTGTCAGATCTGGTCTCATTCCCTCTAAACATTCAGGTGTTTCTATGCTTTCCTGTATTTCCATCAACAGTCGTGCAGGGAGGCCTGAGCTGTGTCTGTGTGCAGCCGTTTGAGGTTTGTCTTGTAAAGCGTGTTAGTTCTGACTTTCCTACTTAGGTGTACCTACGCTGTTTGCATAGCTCAGCTCACCCTGGAGAAAGGACTCTTGCACTCATGAAACATTTTTTCTGAGCTAACAAACCTCACTGACTCTGGATAATTCTTCACAGAGCCAAATCAGAAGCCTTTGCATCCAGACTATCCTTATTTAGCAGCGTGGGTAACCACCAGCAGGCAATTCAGACTTACCAGACTAGGTTGGTAAAACAGTTTGCTGCTTTCCCTTGCAGAAAAGTCTGGGCATAATTCGTTATCCTAGCTGCCCCCCTTTCAAGTGAATGGAATTTGTGCAGAAGCTACCTCTTTCTTTTTTTTTTCTTTTTGCTTTTTCTTTATTTTATTTTATTTTTTGTGCCCTGCCAGCTGATGCTGCCTTGCAGCACCTTGCATACTCTGGAGTATGTTTCATTAATAAACTGTGTAAGAATTTGTAATATTTTATTAGCAGGTTAAAATTTAGAGACAAACACTCCTAAACTTGGATTAGTTTAAGGGAATGAAGATCAGTACTTAAAATCCAGTGAACTCTACTGAAATGGGTAGTTACACCTATGTGCAATTTTTATTTGGTATTTTTCGAAGTATTTATGCTTCGAAATGATATGATTATATTTAAATATTTGTGTTTTAATAATTTTTTCAATTATATGAGAAGAATAGAGCATAGTTGTAAGTAATCCAAGTTTGCAGAGCTACAAAACACTGGTCTGAGTCTTTTGCTTATGCTGTACAATAAAACTATATCTCTTGTTTATACCAACCTCATTTTAAATAGGAGAGTTTAAAGTTTGAATGAGTCACTATGCTTACTGAAATTTTTTGGTCCTTGATGCTACTGCAACTCCAGTTCTCTCAGATTAGATTAGAATCCAGTAATTACCACGTTTTTGTAATACGTTACTATGAAAACATTTTTCTTCGATAGTGACTAAAAGCAGTGTTTTCACATATGGAGCTGCTTCTATTTTAAATGCGAGTAATGCAAGAAAAATTCAGGATTTTTTTTGAGTTACAAACCACAGCTTTACCGTTTTACCAGCTTGCAACTTATTTTCTTCATCTTTTTGATAGGAGTTGGCCAAATTTCGTAAGAATAATTGACACACAGGGAAAAAAAATCACTTTGGTATTTGTATATGGTTTTCATTTATCAGTAGATCCCATAAGACTTTGCATGCAATAGCAGTTGGGTGTATCTCTTTTGAGACATTGGACTCAGTAACTGTTTACAATTAACAGACCGAGCCTTTTGCTTTTAGCAAATCTCTCTGTTATACCGACAGTTGTGTTTTTAAGTTTTTCCTCAAATTCTGGGAAAATGCAGCCAATTTTTTAAACGTTTCCAAGCGAGTTATTTGGACCTTCCACCATGTCACTAAGGATTTGAGATTTTACAGGTTCTTGATGTTTTTTTCACCAGTCTTCAGTCTCCTGGTGATTAAAAGAATGTCTCTGCAAACCTATGGCGCGTTGTGAAAGTACGTGGCATAAAGTCATGTTCAAGTAGAATTAGCCAAGACACTGGTTGTCCAAGTGTCAATAAAATAACAACTTCTTGGTCCAAATGACTTCATGTATCTTGTTGTCTGTCAAATACTAGTAATACAGTCATACAATTTGTTTGCTAATCCCTTGGCTTCCTTTGACAGTGTGGGTATTTGCTAACCATATTGCTTCCAAAATGTTAGCTGCTGATCTTAAAACAAATCAAACCTTCCCCTACAGTATTCTTATCTGTGTATGATTAGCTGTTGGAGGATGGTTGTATTCCTTATGCCAGGCTGCTTTCTCTGAGGTGCTTTTTCATGCAGTTAATTGCATGCTTTGACTGTCAGGTCACCAGCATCTGTACCTAGCAATTCATCTTCAACATGCGTCTGAATGCTAGATAACCCAGGCTAACATTGCTTTAAAAAATCAGATGCTGAGTAATGTAAGATGATATTATAGGCATAAAATTTTTATTTTTCAAATGTAATGTTGTTGCGTATAGTGATTTTTTTTTTTTTAATGCAAATAATGTTTGCATTTACTACATATGCAAACTCATTACTGAAAACTGTGATGGCTTTTACATATGGGTCATTAGCTAAAGCAGGATGTAATTTTCTCTGTTGTCTCATTACTCAGCTATTATAATGCAGTTTTACCATTATCTTTAGTCATACTCTAATGTCCATATATGCTTAAATGCTGGTAGATTTTTATTCTTTCTGTTGCATTTTGTGGAATGCTGTTATCATGGTCTCTTTTTCCACTCAGTTTAGTTGCAGTTTCTGTGTCTAAGACTTGGTGTATTTCCCATTTTCATTCAGTTTCACAAAAAAGACATGGAATTAGGTATTTTTCTTCCTGAATCAACTTTAACTATTTTTACCATGATTTTTCACTGAACATCCTTTATTGCAGCAAATGGAAACTGGCAAGCCAGATAAAAAGTTTAGATGATATTGTGACATAGTGATTTGAGAATCTCTAAATTCTCCTTTATTTCTTTGTTTCCAAGTAGAAGCCACGTTAAATAATTTAAATTCTGTTCCAAGTGGCTATAGGTTGAGGTTCTTGTTTTGTTTTCTTTGTAATTGATGGTTTCACGTTTCATGCTACATCGAAAGTAGATCAACTTTTCAAAAAATAAGTTTGTCATTTGTTAGTTTCCTGTGCTATGCTTTCTTTTTCCTTCTAGGAAATGGCAGTCTCTGTTTAGACCAGGAATAGGCCCAGTTTTGTATTTAAAAAAGATAATATTATTGTATTAAATGGCATCTAAGTTTTAAACTTGTTGAAAAAGTACCAATGAAAGTTTTCTATTGGAAGAGGCTGAGCTGAAATACAAGGCATGTACACATTTCATTAAAAGCTACATGAGAAACTACCAATTTTATAATAAAACTTAAACAAAAGAGGTTAACAAAGCCAGATTTGTACTAAAACAGAAGAAAATTATTTGAAATCTTGGAGTATAGAAGGTCTTGTAGTATGCAATATGGAAAATCATATTTTGACTATCTTAACTGGGGTATGTGCTTGCAGTACTCTTATTCTAAAGGCTTTGCTGATATTAATTCGTTTTCACTTCATGCCACTGAACTAGGAAGCATTCACATATGTGGAAACTAAGTTAGATTTCACTTGGTCAAAATCATACAGACAGTATGTTAGATCAGGAATTGGTATATAATTCCAATTTACTGACATATTTCTTAAGCCATTTTTGTGTGCACGAACATAGTGGGAATGCTGTGTGTTTTACTCGAATAGGAGACTGCTTAATCTGCCCACACTTGGTAGCTTTCATTTCAATTAATACCAGTTGAAGTGTCACCATTGAATGTTCTTATTCCAGCTTTTAGTAGTGCCATATGTATTGTGGTTGGATTAATATAAATGTATTTTATTCTGTTTTCTTACATGACATGCTTTACAACACTGCAGAAATATTACTGATGATGAATCCTCAGTGGATGAACTGAGAGGCACGCTGCGTTTTTTTGCATCTGTATTAGTTCGGAGAATTCACAAGGTAAGGTGATATAAAGGTATTAACGTTGTTTTTCCATCAGAAATAACTGATATCCATCTGTAGCGAGTTCTTTAATTTTTTTAAAATGGCGATTCCAAAGTCAGTCTTACAGAGAGTATAGGCAGTCTCCATCTAAGTTTCTTCTTTGCGTTATCTGCTCCCTCCTTCTGGAGCTTATCCCATTCCTGGTTATAAACCATCTTTGAAGATTCATCATTGGAAGTGTTCAATGTCAGGTTGGACATGGCTTTGAGCAACGTGATCTAGTGAAAGATGTCCCTTGCCCATGGCAGGGGGTTGGACTAGATGATCTTTGAAGGTCCCTTGCAAACCATTCTGTGATTCTACGATTCTTGCAAATGGATTCTTTTTTTTTTTATACCAGTGCAAGGTATCATTAAAACCTTAGGATGATCTTTTAGCTGTCTTTTAGTGACTTAATCCCAGTGGAAACAGTTTTGAGAATTATTAAAAAAGAACTATTAGAAAATGGTTAGCAGTGTGCCTGACTCACAGCTTCTGCTTGCTTGACTTCAAATGCATTGTCTATAAAGAATAGACTGTCGTTAAGTGAATAGCTTACTGTAAGAATTAAACCAGGTATGGTTCTTATATTAATGTAGTTCTTAAGAAACATTCTGAAGACTAAAGATTCAAAATTTTTTTCGCTGTGTTTATATTCTGTTTTCTGGTAGAGTGCTTCAAGCCTGTTTTACAGGAACTGCTTCTAAATTTCTGGGTATTCTAAGTGGGAAGAGTTGCTAACTCAGTTTCCAGGCTTACTCAGTGCTGGCCCCTCTGTTGGAGCAACTACCATAAATGTGTGTCTTTTTTCCCCTCCTTAATAACAGCAATATTTCCTGAGCTACGAGTTGTATGTGTACTCTGTCACGACTGATTAACAGCCTGATTCTGTCCTTGTTATATATCGAATCCAGATGACTTTCTTATTTACTCGAACTCAAGCATGTTGCTTTTTAAAGTGAACATGGGGAAAGATTAGGAAATGTCTGTGTAGTGCAGACATTATATGGAGGTGTGAAAGTGGAGTAAATCTTTCAAAGTGAAAATCTAGAGCAAGGTCTTAAAATTTAATTTGGAGTTGTAGTACATGCAGGTGTTAGTTGCACTGTTTGTAGATCCATTATTGATTCAGAAAATGATGATGTCTCCTCTATTGATCATGTAATAAGGTATTAATTGTGTTGTCTCAGATCAGCTCTAGCATCTTTAAGTAGAGAATTAATTTACCATATCTGCCTTTGACAGTAATGAAGTAAATGTAATATATTCCGTTCTATGTATCTGGGTAGACAATATGTGCAACAAAAACTCAAGATGTGTACAAGTATTAAGCACTGTCAGGGGAACTGCAAAATAAAGGCCATCACAGAAGTGCATTTCTCTTCACAAATATTTAGGTTTATTTGTATCCATCCTACAGAATAAGATAATTTATTTTGTCTCTTTGTGTGAAGTGGTACCAATATCTCAAGCAAAAAGATACTCATAATAACTTTGTGTTTTGGAACAAAATTGAAACTTGGCATGCTGAGTCATGCAGGGGAGCGTGGTGTCTTACGCTATGCTATTTTTTTCAACTCACTTTTTTTTTTCTGCTGAACAAGTGTTTCTGTGTGTACACACACACATACAGATTCAGACAGCTGAACTAATAACTGTGATGCATATACTACTGAAAATGTGCATAGAAATCAGAGTTGATATGCAAGTTGCAAATAAAATACCAACTTTTTGTCATTTTGGGAATCCTAGTTTAAAGCTTCAGTAGTTAGCTGAAAAGGGTTTTGACAGAATGTTTTATAGCCTTTCAGCTCTGATACAGTGTCCTTTATAACCTCATTTGAGGAGAAATTCATCACTGATTGCAAAATAAAATAGTCTTATACCTTTGCCAAACAGCTGTACTTCAACCTGCATCTGGTTGAAATTTTTGTCAAAAGTTGATAGTGTCTACTACAGTGTCGATAACAATTTGCTTGCTGTGCTCTGCAGGAATACACTCCCCTATCCCTATGTTCCATAGGAAACTCTTGATTTATTGAAATTACTGTTGAAATGTGAGTCCCAAAGGACAGGGTTTTCCATTGGTGAGCAGAAACTCCTACTTTCTCGCTTTGTAAATAGGAGTTCACCTTAATTTAGTTAGTTACTTTTAGGCAGTTCTAGTCAATTGTACTAGCTTGTCTGGGCTGGCCAGGTCAGGTCGTAGCTGTGCACCTCAAATATTACAGGGTGTGCAGGAATACATGCTATTCTGCTTGTATGAATGAATAAAAAAAACCTTTTCTCTTAGCTCTGGCCTTTGCAATTACACTGTCTCTTTCCTTGTCTGGCAAGACAAACTTTCACACTTCTGTTTCATTACTTAAGGTCTTTATTTGACTTAGTATTGAGGAGGGGCAAACTCCATTAGGAACAAAAATATGTTCAGAAGTCTTAAATTTTGAACATTTACAACTGCATGTTTCTGCTTCTCTAAGACGTCTTTTGCTCTTACTTAAAATAAAGGGCATGCAAAGTGTAAATCAGTTTCTAGATAATTTTCTGTGGAAACTACTGCAGCTGATAAAGAAGAATCCGTTGAAACTGTACAGGCTGGGGACTGACTGGCTGAGGAGGGAAGCTCTGCTGCAAAGGACCTGGCCCAATGGTAAACAGTAAGCTGAGTATGAGCCAGCAATGTGTACTGGCAGCAAAGGCGGCCAACAGTATCCTGGGCTATATTAACAGGAGCAGAGCCAATCAATCAAGGAAAGTGATTATTTGCCTTTACTTGGTGCTCTTTAGATGGCATCTAGGATACTGCATCCAGTTTTGGGCTCACCGTTACAAAAGAGACATTGATAGAATGGAGCAAGTTCAACGAAGGGGCCAACCAAGATTGTTGGGGCTGGAGCATTTGACCTGTGAGCAGGATCATGTGATATTGTTGGCACTAACGGACGTCTTGACTCAGTAACTCAAATTTTCTTTTGGTTCTGCCATCACCTGAGCTGGGACGTTTTTTCTGCAAATACATAGAGAGTACGGTTTCGCTTTGCTTTTAGTCCTTGTGAACATGATTGTTGAGGGTTAAAGTACACAATTACTAGAAGAAGAGCGTAGTTAACTTGCTTTTGTTAGTGGTCAAATCTTCATGTAGAGCTAAGTGTCATATACTGTGACTTGGAAATCAAGCTGTATTACTATAATTATTGCAATGGAAGAATCGTGATGGGAACAAGTTGACAATAAGTGGTATGGCATTTAGTTCTACATGATGTTGTGTGCTTTGCCCAGAAGAATGAGCATACTGTCAGTTCACCTAGAGAATTCATGGGTTGTTTCTTAAGGGTTCGTTTTATGGTTAGAATGGGGATGTATAAGCAAATTAATATGTTTCATAGTTGTCTGTAATAAATTTTGGGGAAAAAAACTAGAACAATTCTGTTTTTATTTTAAAACTATTCTTTAGGTGGATATTCCAACTGTTGTAACAAAGAAAATGCTCAAGGCAGCAATGAAACACATCGAAGTGATAGCCAAGGCCAGGCAGAAAGGTAAAGGCTTAATACGTTGTCAGTTTCAAAGGGCAAGTATAAATGTTTCTTCTTCTATGATTGTTACTATAATTGCTAAATCTTTTCATCCTCACTGCCTTCTCTTTAAAAAAAAAAAGTGATCCTTTTGCATTTTTCTTCTGGAGGTTGCAAAGACAAATAGGGAAAAAGTTACAGTACAAATAATGTCTCAGTTTTGATTTTCATTTCCCCACATTGAAAATATTAAATTTCTTTCTCTGTATGGTAAACAGGAATGTGTTTTTTGTCTGTTCAGAGCAATCAGTATCATTTAGCAATGCTTCTTCAAGTTTTTCCTTTGTATTCCAGATGAGCAATTATAAATGAAAGGATTTGCATGTCCGTGTACTGTAACTCTAACTCCTCCAGGTAGAATGATTTCACATCTGCACACTAACATGAGTAGTTAGTGGAGTTGTTCAATATGTCAAAAAGTTAGGTTTATGTTTATAAACCATGGAGAGACTTTGAGCAGTAGCATATTTAATTATTATCCAAATAAAAATGTCTTCACAAGCCTAATGTAAAAAATATATTAAAACTGCACGTTGAAGGAATATTTGGAAAATAGAACACTTGCTGTTGGAAAATAGTTATCTCTTGTTTTTTTCACTGGCTGTGTTCCACAATGCTGTATCTACTAAATGTGGTTTCATTCAACTTTTAAGCATAGATGTTTACTTTCTCTGGAGTCATGAACTTTCCTCCCTTCCCTCAAAACGTCTGCTTGATATCCATAAATATATGCCATTGGTCCTGTGAGTAGTGCATAATGAATAAGATGAATAATGAGGTATAGCGTGATCACGTTAGATGTTTTTCACAGCACAACAATAATTTCAAGATACTAGGTTATCTTGCGGTTATCTTACCAAATTTCATATTTCCTTTGATTTCTACTAAGGAGTTGAAAACACTTTTCTCTAGCAGCCAAGAACGGTATTTTACATGTACGGCATTGAAAAGATAGCCATTTTATTCAGTGTTTTAAAGGAAAAGACTCGTTCCCTGATAACAGATATGTGAAGTAGCAGCAGAAAATTACTTTTAGTAGTGCCTTCTAGTAAACGTTGCTAAACCAGCCACTGTAATACGTGATTCAGAGGCAGCTTTCTGCTTGCTAGTTGAGCCTAGCCTTTTCTGTTTGTTTATTTTCTAAATCCTTTTTCAAATTATTGCTTTAGGGGGCATTTCCTTTTTTCCTACTCTTCGTACCCTTACATCTCTTAGTAATTCCTCACTATTTGCACAGACACCTCCATGATTCATTCACTCCTTGCCAGAGAGTGCATGCCTCCCCTCTGCTTTTAGTGACACCAGCCAGGCAGATTTATCAGGCAATATATATTCCTGCACCCCCGTATCAGCTGATACCACTCATAGTTCTTGGTTGTAAAGGACAAGCTAGCAGACTTCTGTACTAAATTCAATATGCTGGAAACAAACTTTAACCTTCTAGATAACAGGTATGTATTAGGTACCTGACCTGTGCCTGGCGTGGTTCTTGGCATGAGGCTGTCCTGGATTGCTAGTGCAGGTAGGTGTGATTTACTACAGCTCAGTTCTTGCCTTTGAAGTGATTTGAAGGAATATAACATTGTTGCTTCTAATTAATATGCGTAGTTTTTAACTGATAACGCAGGTATTCTTTCAACTCCATGCAGCTACTTATAAGAGGTAGCAATCGTGCAGATCCCCATGCTGGTTTTGGTTTGATTTATGTTGTATTTAAAATATATGTTCCTTCACATTTGTTTCTAAATGTTCTAAGTAGGAAACAGATATAACAGGATTGAATAAAAGTTTAAGTTTACGTTGATTGCAAATTGTGTTGTAGGCAAGTCAGTAGGTAGAAGCCCAATAAGTGGGAGACTGTGAAGGAGGTCAGGAAAAAAGCAAGTAGAGGCAGACTTTAGGCAATGCAGTTTTTTAGAAGAATCAAGATGTTGAGTTCTTAGTAATTATAAATGAGAAAACATTCTGGAAACCATGCAAACTGCAATTGTTTGGTGAAGGAATTCTTATTTCAACGTGAGGTTTTATTTTTACATAGCCAGGCTTCAAAGTCTAAGCCAAGGTTCTTTTGTAAAGTTTCAACATTGTATCTCTTTGGCAGTTGTACATGTACTAAAAGTACTAACTTTTTAGCTCAAATGAAAAGCAATCGTCTCTTATTTCACAATAAGAAAAAGCTGAAACAACTCATAATACTATTTTTTACTTGCAGTAAAAAATGCAGAATTTTTGCAGCAAGCTGCTTTAGAAGAATATGGGCCAGAACTCCATGTTGCTTTGAGAAGCCGAAGAGATGAACTTCACTACTTAAGAAAACTTACTGAACTTCTTTTTCCTTATATTTTGCCACCCAAGTCAACAGAGTGCAGGTATAGAAATTATTTAGAATTGTATTCTTTAAAGTATCTGCATATTATGTAGTACAATAATTTTGGGGAGTGAAAGAATGAACTCCAAAGTCATCCTCCTCATCCCTCCTTATACCTTTGCTTATGAGTTTTTTGATTGGTCTTAAAAATATTCTAGCACGCTTAAGGAATTATTAAATACTAAAATACTTCCCAGTAAAATATAATGGCATTGGAAACTTCACTTAGAAATATAATCTAGTATGGGTTCTGATTTTTTTTTCTCTTTTTTTTTTTTTTTTTTTTTTTTTCCTTTTTAGATCCCTGGCTCTCCTGATACGAGAGATTCTGCCTGGTTCTGTATTCCTTCCCTCAATGGATTTCTTAGCTGATCCTGTAAGACTTTGGAGCACAGGAATAGTCTTAATTTATTCGTATTACTGTTCTCCTACAAAGTATGTTGTGATAAAGCAAAATATGCACAATGACTAACTTGCTGTGCATTTTGACTGGGTAAAAGAAAAAGAAATCTTGTGGCCGATGTTTTTGTTTGTTCGTTATAACTGGTTTGAGTGCTTAACTGACTGAACTGACTAAAATACAGTACTGGCATGATCTCTTAAGAATGTATTTTTAATGAAGGACTACAATTCCTGTCAAATGGGAGAATGCTGTGCTAGTATAAGCACCTTCAAATTGCTATAATTACATTTAAACAAGGGCTCAATTACTTGAACTCTAGCTGTATGTATCTTTATAGCAGTGTAAGTAAACCAGCCTTTTTTGCAGCTGTATTGAAATAAATTCTTTTGTCCTTAATTCTGCAAATAAGAGGGCATTTATTTCTAAAGATGGAATACTACCATCTTTGATTTTATTTATGCATGTATTTTAATAGGCAAAATTGCACTGTAGCTGTATTAGTAGTTCGTTACATCTGCATTAACAGTAAAAATACTTTGTAGAGCTTTACTCTACTGGGTAAAGAATGTTTCTGTGCAGGTCTCTTCAGAAATTCCCTGGCTTGTAAATACTTGAAGACACCATTGAAGGTTAATTCTCAAACGTGTGTTTCCAGGCTTTGGGTGTTTTTTAAGTATTAATATATTCACAGGTTTAAACTTGGGCATAACATAGCAGTGAAATGATTTTCATCTTATTTGTTGAGTTTCTTTAATAGTAATTTTGTATTGTGTTTTCCTGCAGGATACTGTCAACCATTTGCTGCTGATCTTCATTGATGATAGTCCAGTGAGTACTGACAAAGTTAAAACAGTAGTAATTTGTTCACCCATGAAGGAAGCTTTCTTACCCAATTGTCTCTTGTCATTTTTTTCTACAGCCTGAGAAAGCAACTGAACCTACTTCTTCATTGGTTCCATTCCTTCACAAATTTGCAGAGCCAAGAAATAAAAAACCATCTGTAAGCAAAAGCAACATTTATTTCCTTTCCTGTTTTGAATAACTCTTTTACTTTAGCTGTTGTTTTTGTTCTACAACTCCTTGCATTATTTATGTACTCACTGAAAGTTTGAAAATTGGCTGACTGCATTTTTAACTTACTTAAGGTCCTGAAACTGGAGCTAAAGGAGATTAGAGATCAGCAAGACCTTTTATTTCGGTTTATGAACTTCCTGAAACAGGAAGGAGCAGTCCATGTGCTGCAGTTCTGCCTGACTGTGGGTAAGATTGCATACGTGTGCTAAGGTATATATGATGATCTTTAAAACCTTTAAACATTTGCATGTTGAAGTGAATATTCAGTCTCAGAACTAGGCAGCATTGTTAAGCAAGAGATTACCTTTCAGGATCTGTGTTCACTTACTTTAATATGTCCTTACTCTTGAATGCCAATTTTGGCAACATTAATGTTGGTGTGGACTGTGGGTCTTAACTGTACTTCAGTTTATTGATAAAGGTTGGACATTTTAAAGTAGAATATTCTTGTAAGAAAAAAGTTCTGGCCACTGATACAAAGTGCAGCTGCCTTTTTTTAATATGTGGTTACTAAAGTATTACTAAAATGAGCTGTTCATCCTGAAAAGCTTCTCATGTTCTTTTACCTTTAAAATTCTGATTTCTGTAAAGAACAGAAACATAACAGGAACATTAAAGGTGTTGAAACCTTCTATTCAGTAACCTGTACCTTGGTTATGAGGCGTGCATTTGGTTTTGCCATTACACAAGTGTTGTTTGAAAAGCCTTCTGTTTTCCAGTGATAAGGTTTTCTGTAAATTAGAGTGGTTTATTTCACGTTTTTTGGTCAACTAGTAGTTAATTACTGGCTTACCAAAATAATGGGTTTTTCGGGGTTTTTTTTTTTAGTAAACAAGTATTTCCATGTTGCATAGGAAGTAACGGGTGTGTCTTCATATCCCAAGCCCATACATAACATCAGGAAGATGTGAAATTAAATTAGACAGACTTTATCTCATAAAATACTGCAGAAATCATTAATCATTACGTAAGAGAAATACAAAGAATCTCTGTGCGTGCAGCTTCTTATGTGCTCATAATCCTTCCAAACGTGTTGGCTTTTTGTTAGGAAAAACTCTCCTCACCAAAAAACAACAAAGCAATTAACTTTTCAGTGCTGGTGGTACCTGCAGGGGGTTCTAAGCTGACCTTTCTAGAGCTCTCTAGAGCTGCTTCCAGAGCAGGAAGATTACTCAAACTGTGGCTATTGCCCATGATAAATCTTTTTTCTGGGTAAACCTCAGTATTTTCTTCCTTCTAAACTTCTCTTGCATTGTCATAGGTGGCAAGTCTGTATATTAGCTTGTCGTGGTTTAACCCCAGCCAGGAACTAAGCGCCACACAGCCACTCACTCACTCCCCCCCGGTGGGATGGGGGAGAGAATCAGAAGGGTAAAAGTGAGAAAACTCGTGGATTGAGATAAAGACAGTTTAATAAGTAAAGCAAAAGCCGCGCACACAAGCAAAGCAAACCAAGGAATTCATTCACTACTTGCCATCGGCAGGCAGGTGTTCAGCCTTCTCCAGGGAAACAGGGCTCCATCACGCGTAACGGTTACTTGGGAAGACGAATGCCATAACTCCGAACGTCTCCCCCTTCCTTCTTCTTCCCCCAGCTTTATATACTGAGCATGACGTCATATGGTATGGAATACCCCGTTGGTCAGTTGGGTCAGCTGTCCCGACTATGCTCCCTCCCAGCTTCTTGTGCACCTGGCAGAGCATGGGAAGCTGAAAAGTCCTTGACTATGTAAACATGACTTAGCAACAACTAAAACATTGATGTGTTATCAACATTATTCTCATATTAAATCCAAAACACAGCACTATACCAACTACTAGGAAGCAAATTAACTCTATCCCAGCTGAAACCAGCTATAAAACAAAGAATGAGATTTAAGTCTCTCAAGTTATGCTATCCCAAACTGTCTACTGTAGGTGGTTCTTCACTTGATAGAAATATTTTGGATAAGAAGCACTTAATGAGGAAAATAAACCCCCAAAAAACCCAGAAGGGTCTTGGTAGACTTTCTCTGAAGAAGTTTGGTTTTGTCTAATAATTGAAAAATTAATCAAACACTACCTTATTTTCCCTTCCTTCTGGCCAGTAGTCATGCTATTAACGAGATGGGCCAATAAATCAAGTAGGATTGCACATGTGCTGAATAGAATTTTTATTTGTCAAGGGAAGTTCATTCTCAGGTTAGTCTGATATTAAAGATATTATTGATAATATTATGATGGGTTGGGTCTTAGGAATGAAATAGCAGCAAAATAGGCAGATGACTGGTATAACAGGCTGTTGGGGCTCTGTGTGGAAATCATGCTAAAAGACTACTACAATTTACAATTTGGTAATTCAGGAAGAAAAAACTCATTCTCCTGATTCATTCTTCTGCCAGGAACAACTTCATGGATTTATCCTTACTGTGATAAGGAATAATTAGTTCTAATTGCAATATATTTTTAGTAATAATTTTATGAACAAATCTGAATTATAGTTAATAAGAAGTCAGCTACCTTATTACCTGAGATTTTGAGATGTCTTCTGTTTCTATTAATTTTAAAATTTTACAAATTACTGTATCTGCTGGAAAATGAGTTGATGTTATATGCTGCTTCAAGATGCTATTTGTTAGCCAAGTGGATCAACAAATGCGTTTTCTTTCCTTTACTTCTCAGAGGAGTTCAATGACCGAATTTTGCGACCAGAACTATCAGATACTGAAAAGATGTCTCTTCATGAGGAAGTACAGAAAATTTACAAAACTTACTGTTTGGATGAAAGCATTGACAAAATTAGATTTGACCCTTTTATTGTGGAAGAGATTCAAAGAAGTAAGTTTGAATTTGGAAGGAATAATTGACACTGGAATTTAAACAGCATTCTGTAATACAGTGAAGACTAATTCATCTGATCAAATATGATCAATCTTTGCTCTTGCCATACTTTAAAAATCGTTACCCCCTTGCTATATTGTGCTTAAACCTTGTTTTGTCAGTTTATTTCTATTTTTTATGTCACACTTACAGTAGCTTGCAAAGCAGTCATGAATTCAGACCAGAAAAAAACCAAAGTTTATATATATATATCTATTTATATTTACAAATTTTTTTTATAGTTGCTGAAGGTCCTTATATGGATGTTGTGAAACTTCAAACTATGAGGTGTCTTTTTGAAGCTTATGAGCATGTACTTTCTCTACTTGAGAATGTTTTTACTCCTATGTTCTGTCACAGTGATGAGGTAAGTGTGAAAGATTTGAAGAGTAGTCTTAAAGCAAGATAGTTTTTTGTTTTTTTTTTTTTTTTTTTTTTTTAGGATCCCCTTTTTAACAAGTCTCTGAAAATGTGGAACTGAAAAATATGTCTCCATTTTCCACTTTAGTTAGCATGCCAGAGCTGGGACCAATCTCAGTAAGAGAATTGAATTTAATCTAGTTCAACACAACATCAACAGAATAAAAAAAAACCTCTTCATTTTTTGATGTAACAATTTGTGTATATCACTGCTATTACAAAATCCTCTCCACTTCTTCTTTTATGATTGCAAATTTGGTGCAAAAGTAATCTGCGTGATAGACATAGAACACTTTTAAGAATCTCTTTATTTACTTTTTAGAATATAATGGTACTTAAAGAAAGAAACAAAGGTTGTATTTGGGTACCTTCAGCGTTATGCATTCCAGCAGCTAAAAGTCAGGTGTCTGTTTTCAGGAGGGTCATTCAAAGCAATTTACTAGGCATTTGAGATTGTTCTATGATTGGGTTCTGAATGCAAGTTTTTTTTTTAAAAAAAAAAAAAAAAAAAAAAAAGGCCGACAGTTGCCTAAAGCCTTCTAATAGGAAACAGTTTAAACACAAGGGTGAGTCTGAATTCTTGTCCGTTTTAGAGTTTGTGTGTGTAAATCAGGTTGCATGTTAAGCTTCTTGCATTTATTTGAGGCAGAATATATTGACTTGTCCTGGGAAAGGGTGCTTACCTCATTTGGTGTTATTCTTAATAAAGTGTGTTTCTCAAAAATGGTATTGATGGTCATCTTTCCCATAATAGCATAATGCTTCAAGTGCTTGATTTTTAACAAGGAGGAGACAGGGATTTTGGTGCTTGATTTTACTTTTATTTCTGTTTTGGTTTTCGTTTTTTAATCTGAAGACTATGTAAAGTAAAATAAGTAGTCCTGGGAACATGTATTGCAAATTTGGTCTGTCCTTTGCCAAATGAATATTCTAACTACTAGATTATGGGCAGCTTGCCTTTTACTTCCGTTCTTGTTTCCTGAATTCTGCAATGTCGTTGCATAGTAGCCCTTACCTCAGTTAACCCAGTGTTTTCTTTGATACCTTATTTGTCTGTTGTAGTACTTCAGGCACCTTTTAAGAGGAGCAGAGTCACCAACACGCAATTCGAAGTTTAACAGGTAGGTATGGTAGAATCTTTAAGTGTTTTTCTTTGGTTTTTAGTTAAAAGTGTCAAAATACTAAACCATAGGAATTTTGCTACTGCCTGACACTAATTTGACTAAATTTTTAGCTCTACTTTTTTTTAATGGACAAATTACATACTGAAGGAGCATGCAATATTATTCAAGATGTCTCTTCACTTTGAAGTGTTTTACATTAAAGAATTTAAAATGTGATTTAGACCTCAACATTTGAGAAGGGGGAAGGGAAAAATACATGTACAGAGAGAATAAGATAACATGGAAATAAAGTGCTGATTTAATTGACTGTATATATGAATACCATTTTGTTGGTGCAAAGCTGTGTCTTCTTGGATTCCAGGTCTTACAGGGATAGGTACAGCGTACCCTGCATCTAGCTAACCTGGTCATGCAATGGGAATCTCCTCTTGTGAGAAGGAGGATTTGCCATTTCTCCAAGGCAAATGTGTTTCCCCCAGCTCTCCCCATTCATTGCAGAAATGTAGTGTCAGAAGCCTTGTTTCTGGGTTTGGGCTGCATACTTACAGACCACCTTCAGGTTCCTTAGGGTCTGAGGAGAAGGAGAAGAGCATCTCCTGTGGTATGGATGGGTGATCTTCCACTGTGGGGATGGGTTGAGTAAGGTTGAGATCTCATCATTTCTTGTCTTTCGTTTTATGCTGGCTGGCTCAGTTATAGACTAGCCCAACTGAATTGCTCTTACGGTCTAGCCAAAAGAAGGAGAACTTCAGTGAGACAGTCTTTAATTTGGATAGGCTTTCTTTCTTGGTATGAAATAAGATCCATGGTACTGTAGAAAATGCTAGTGTTTATCATCTTAGATTACTCTTCTAGAGGAGTAGCAGCAATTTATTTAACTTTTTCTGCTTTCATTAGAGATACACCTAGCAGCAGCCCTCTTGATTTGCAGCCTACTGTGAGGTGTACTATTGTGAGATCCCTTTTTCCCCTGCTAACGTTCTTCAAAAACTACATGATAGTTCTCTTTAATATATCTCCATTAGTGACATCTATTATGTAGTCTTTATAGTTCTTGTAGATCCAAGACTCAAGCTTTGGTGTAGTGCTTTCTCAGATCAGTGCTGACAAGCTGACAAGCTTCTGTTTCTTAGCAAAGAGGCCTGGAAGGCAGCTAGACCAAACTGCATTTCTCCCCTACGTGATACTGCACAAGGAATAGTGACCTTAAAACACACTCCAGCTTCTGTCAAAGATGGTTACAGGGTTTCATCCAGACCTTTAAATCTGCCTTCTTTCTTTCCCAAAATTATTCATGTCAAGGGTTGAAAGTATCCTGTCATATATTTCTTAAATCTAGTTAACGTATGAAAACATTTAGGTCACCACCTTGTGCTTTGCTTTCCAAAACAGAAAGGGTGAAATTACCTGGAGTTCTTGAAATACATCTCTGGCTACAAAATAAGAAAATTTTGTTTGGGGAGTGTTACAACGTATTCCTCTGGGATCCATAGCATTACTGAAAATGTATCTGCTTTACATTTTAGACCAATTTGAATGCCCTGAGTATGTATGTTGGTTTATGATACGAGATACTGTATCTTCCTGAAGGGTGCCTCAGTGATTATTTCCATGAAACAGAGGTCCTATCTGAGGTCCTATCTGCAAGTAGTTCGCCTGTTGCTTTGGAGTTTCCCTCTGCAGAATCTGGTACAGACAATCACTGCCAAGGGGAAAAAAAAAAATGTAAAAAAAGGTTACTTTTGGAATTATTCCAGATATTATCCATATGCACATACCTTATCCTGCCTTCTCTTCCCTATTCTAGCATAAATTCCAGTTGAGAGAAATTACATGCAAAGAGATGAGTTGTTTTCCATATCTTTGATGCTTTGCTAGGGGTACCGTGTGTGTATTTCATAGATGCTGCTGGTTAAAAAGTCAGATCAAGTAGTAGATATGAAATCCCGGTGGAATGTACATGTGGGTAGTGTGTTGAAAGATTTCACTTATTGTAAGACAAGAAAATTATAGAGCAGTTTCTAGAAAATACAAGTGGGAAAGCAGGAAGAAGTGACTATCAGTGTGTAATTTCTGGTTTGAATCACTTCTTTGAACTGTACAAAATAATCATAGCTTTTTGTGTACAGATAGCAGTTTTCATAGCACATTATTTGTCCTAAGGTAGTAGATGAGAAGTCCCAAGTATTTCTGGAGTATAAAGAAGTCCCACTGAGGATATTCTGATAACTTGATAACTAGCTGTGGTTGTCAACAGTTTAACTCTATAACTGGTATTTTCGACCTAATGTTTAATATGTGTGGCCAATAAAAACTGATGTTTTAAGTTCTGATTCTGGTGATTTAATTTTGGGTCTATGGAAGAGAGGACAAGAATTCCCTCTCCCTCTCTCATATTTGTGTATTTATAATACATTACTACGTTACTTAAAGGTATTCTGTATTGGAAGTCTAACAAAAAAAGAAAAGCCATTATGTGATATAAACTCCCAGATTTCTGGATAGCTGTATATCTGCCTTGATTTTCTACACACCATGACCACATGTAGAAATAGACGCATCCTGATTTCTCATCATTGGGATAGCAATAAAATTAAAACATTTCTCAAGTGAAGGACCAAGTAGAAAAGACATTAACAATTTTGGGGAGTGGTTAGGAGTAAAACGCACAGAAAAATAACTGTCTGTAAACAGTTGTGTGCCATGTAATTGTTTGTCACCATCAGTTCCAACTTGGTAGGTTATGTTTCCAGCTTCACAGTTAACATGACTAAAGACAGTGTAAGATGTCTTAGAATCAGTTCCTTTTGTGAAACAAAATCTAAAATTTGAATATTTTAATGCCATATCAGTTTCTGGAATTCAGTAGCTCCAGTGAATTAAAATCATGTGTGCAGTAACTGTGTTTATGGTTGATCCATTTAAACATCTCTGTTGGAATTACTGAGTTCATGGCTGAGGCATTGGTTCCATGTACCAGGTTATGCAGCATGTCAAAAGTACATGACAGTTCTTAAAATCTGTGAAATAATAATAATAAAAAAGATACTTTAATAGTGGTTTTTAGTATATCTAATACGGGGGTGTAGGGGGTGGTGTTATTACATAAAATAAGTTCTTTGTATTGGCCAAATGAACTAGATTCCTACATGACTTCTGAACATAGGTTACAGAAAAAGTTAGCTGCCTGTTTGGCACTACAGGTAACTTTAAGAATGAAAATCGTTCAGCTTGTGCTGAATGTCAGTGAAGACTTGAAAGTTTCAATAACTGAGGTTTTAAATTCAAAGGCCAAGATTGTGATGACGAAATGTGCAGGTACTGCTCACATTTCACTTTCTTAGGATTTTAGGTCAGGAACTCCTAATTGTACCACGTTTTTTATTAATCTGTAGTGATGGTTGCAGCCTATTCAGTTTTGTTGGGATAGGTCTGTCAAATTTGAGGTTTTAGTTTTCTTTTAACGTTATTTTCTCCTGGGCTCTGAGGTAATTTATGTGCCTGTTGTTGCAGAAGTAGCCTGAGTTTGGATGACTTCCGGTAAGTCTATCTAACACTCGATAAATATTGTGTGTTAGTTACGCTGCATCTATCATGACTGCATCACACAGCCTTTATAACAGCAATTAACTGCCCAGTTTATTTGTAAAAATATGAGTGTCTTCTCTGGACTAAACTGCATTTCTCTCCACAATAAGCTTTACTCTGTGTCCTGTTCACAAGTGTTTAGAAATTGCTTAATTACTAATTTCACAAGTTTTCAGTATATTAATATTGTTTGTTGTTAACAATTTGTCTGTTGTTATTAGTTTTGAAATATATTTGCATAACTTGAAGCTTTTTTTTTTGGGCCTGTGACTGCTTACTGATCCAAAATTTCCTTTACTCCATGTCACATTTCCAGATCCTGTTTGAGGTTTTATCCACTTAACTGCTTGTTTTATCTTGCACAGTTGTGTCCAGGACGATCATTGCCTAACATTGCATGCAAATATAACCATTTTATGAATATTATCAAGCACTCAAAACCAGCAGTTCCCCAAATCAGTTCTCTCTGCAGCTTTTCTTGTGACTGTTACAGGTTTGATTACAACATACGCTATTTTTTATAATTTGCTCAAGGTAGTCTGTGGTCACTCATTAATGCCTTAATAGCTGTTCAGTGGTTTGTTTTCTCATTATTTGTGCCTCTTTAAATACATGCTATCCAAACTCAGAAAACAATTTTTTCGCTATGGGCTTTTCCTCAGAATTTGTCAGAGCATCAGTATTTCATGTATTATTCATACTATTCTTGAGTCTTGAGGGAACATTATCAACTTCATTTTACAGGTTAGGAATGAAGGTATGTAGACACTTTTTATCTTTTATGTGCCAGGTCAGTGTAGAGTTATAACTGCTGGAGTGTTGAGCAATAAGAAGTACTTGAGCTATAAGTGCAGTTCATTGATTTTTTAAGTGCAGCTCTATGAGCTCAGCATTTCTCCTCATTGGGTGTAGGGGTTTTAGTCAGCCAAAAGAAAATGGTACTCTGACTTCACATGCATGTAAATATCTAGCGTGTCTGATACATACGACCTGTCTGGTACTTCTTGACCCTCAGAGTTCACAATAGCATTCTTCAGCTGCATACCCCTGGCTGATCACTTGCGAAGATCTGTTCAGTGTGCTGAACGAGGCAGGGATCCTGTGGGAAAATTATTTTGCAACCATCGACGATTAAAGAATGCCACAGTGTACAGTGGCACTAATGCAATCTTTGGTATGCAATTCCCAGCTATAGAGTGAACAACAATTGCAATTTTTTAATGTTATGTATATGTGACTTACGGAGCTTTAAAAAAAACCTCTTGTTGTCACATCATTCATCAGAAATGTTGGAACCTGTACACTATCCACTCTATCTGCCAAGAAAGCAACTATAGAATGACGGTCTAATAACGCTGTTACGTGGATCAGCACTAGAGGGAGTGGGATACTTTTCCCAATGAGTTTTGTATATATATTTGTTGACAGTAGCAGAGTTGACAGATCTTGAAAAACTTGGTCCCTATTCTAAAGTGGCCACCTCCTCTCCTTTTTCTTCCCCCGTGCCTTGAACCTAGTCCCATCTCTTCCCTTCCACTTAGCCTCAAGTTCTTTCTCCTATTTCTACTTAACCAGTGAATCTATTAGATTTTCATCCTGATACCTGGTTTTGTTCCGGTCCCACCCCGCTCAGTGTCCTCAAAAGATTGATCATCCTGTTGTCTGTCTGCCTCTGCTAACATCCCCAGATTTTTTCCATGCTCATTGAGTCTGGTTTGTGCTCTGTGTGGTTGCTCAAGGATTTTTGCCAAACCAGTCCTATGTTCTCTCCATGTGTTGTCCTCCATGTCTCTGTGTACCCTCTTATTCACTGGTGATTGTTCTGAATTTGTGTCTTTTCCTGCAAAGAGATCCCATCCTAGTTTATCACTTTATACCTGTTCCAGTTTAGTGATTTCTCTATATTGATTAGGCATGATCTTTGGGCTCAGCATTGGGGCAGGAAGGGGTAGTTCCTAGCTATCAGGTTGAGTCCTGGCTCCATATGCAGCTCTGTACTGCAGTTACAGGCAAAGCTGTATTCTGCCTTCAGCTGGAGCATGATCAGTGTGCGAAAGAACTGATCTGAGCCTGGAGTCCTCTTATCGGATCTCTGAGCTTGTGTGAATTAATGTTTTTGTTCGAAATCTTGAGAACTGCACAAGTTATCACAGGAATGATGAAAACTTCAAGAGTCAAGCCAGAAGTCTGAAGTATTGCCCTTCTAGAAAAGCTGTCTAGTTTTGTCTGAATAAGGCTTGTATTTTGCTAGCCCAGTGATTAAGCTCTTGAAGAAGATTCAGGTAGGTCCTCAATGTGAAAAAGTTCAGCATGTAGAATAACATGTAGAATAAGTTGTTTAAAAATCGAGTAAAATTATTCAAACGTGGACTTATACTACAAACAGCCAAGCAACCTTATCTTTGGTTAGCAGCGATAAGTAAGATAGATGGTGCCTGTCTTTTGGAGCTGATAATAATATGAGATAGAAAAAGCAAAAGATTTGGAAAACAGTGGATTATTTACACAATTTTAGTCACGTACACAGTCTGGGTAAAATTATAAACAGGAAGATTGTTAGTAACACACGCACATTTTGAGTCAGCAGTTGATGTTGTCAACATGGTTTTACAGCTGATGAAGATGCTTTATCTGCTGGTCTCTGCTGTTCTATTGGTACTACTGTTGAGTCGTTAATTTTTTGTTTTAAAGGAAAAAGAAACACTTAGGATATTCTTTGGTCCTCTAAAGTACTGATTGTGCTTTCAATCTCAGTAATCTATAAAGTTCTTTTGAGTCTTTGATTCTGCAGTTCACTGTATTGATTTTTAACTCACCTATCAACTGTATTTATTGAATCACCGTAAGTAGCCTTAGACTGATTCCATATTCAACAGAAACATTTTTCTTTCCAGAATTACTAGCATTTCTATGTAAGATATAATCTTTGGTGTCAGGTCTTGTGTAAGAGCATTAGAATGCTATAAAATCTGTTCTCTCAGTAAGGAGAGCGCTTCCTGCCCAATTATCTTTCTTTTTCCATACCTTGTTGCTTTTTGGATGCTTTGTCATAAGTGGCAAGACTTTAAAAAGTCTTCATCTTTCAGTCAGACTGGCTCTTCAAGCCAAGATTCTTCAGTTGCATCTGTTTTCTCTCATGCTCAGTCTTGCTCCTTGCACATTCCTTTTGTCTGTCCCTAATGCTTAAAAGTCGAGATCTATCTTGAATCATACATGGTTGTAAAATTCTGGGATGTTTATGTAAAAAAATGCATCTAACTACACCATTTACAGTACTTGGCAAGAGTGGATAAATATTTAAGTATGACTACATGGAAAAGGACAGAGTTAGTGACCTTCTTGGTGTGCATGCCTGTAGCAATACGACTGTTTCTGCTGTCAAACCAAAATTGTTTTGCGTAGTTAATTGTTTATTCTATGTCCTGCATTACTGGGATACTATTATAAGAGTGTTAATGTTTGCTCATGGTTAAGCATATGGGAATCTCCTATCTTTTAAAAGTGTAATCAAGAAATTTTGCTGGTCAATCAGAGAACAAATTTGCCATAAATGAATTTCAACTTAAGTGGAATTGTAAATATATTGGCTACTTGTTTATAGAGTTGTTTCTCTTATCTGCAAATGATGTGCAATGGCCTGCTGAGCTTCTGTGTAATAATATGCCTTGTGTTGTGAACTCTGGTTTCTGTAATCCTAGGACCACACAGAAGAGAGGAGAATCATTTGGAATCAGCAGAATAGGCAACAAAATAAAAGGTGTATTCAAGAGTTCTGCAATGGAAGGAGCTATGTTGCCTAACTATAACTTAAATGAAGGAGAAGATGACTTTGTGAGTAAAAGCTTTAAATTTGTCTTTAAGCCTTTGTTGTTGTTGGGTTTTTTTCTTTCCTTATTTGAAAATGGTTAAGTTTCTGCCTTTTCTGCTGTCTTACTTCACTGCAGGGTTTCCATGTGCTGGCTTCTGATTTAAGTTGCCTTGTTTTCCCTGTATTCATTTACAAGCCAAGGCTACATCCCCAGTTAGTGTGCCTCTGAGCTTATTGCTTTAGTACAGAGAAGTACTAAAAGTAGCGGTGTCAGATATTTTTGTCAGCAATGAATTTTTCGCTAAAAACTTACCATGCCATTTTATAATTCTGGATAATAAGGTATGCATAGGACCGCATGCATGGCTTTTCATCTGAAGCTTGCCATAAGACCTTAAAACCATAGAAAAAAGTAGTGGAGAAATTGCTGTAAAGTTGGTCTGTGATGCAGCATTATCTCTAAAGATCATGAGGCAATAGTCCTTTCTCATTTGTCTTGGGTGCCTCCCTCAACTAATGTTTTTCTTTCATGCTGTGAATAGAGCCAATGGTAGAATTATTGCACGGGACATTGGTATCTGAAGCACAGTTGGGGGACAAATGGAAAATTTTAAAAAGGGTCAGAAGCTATGGGTAGTCATGGATTTTTTACAGTGTGATTGCCAATTCAACCTTTTGTACCTGTTCCTAACAAACAAAACATTTAAGCATTTATCACCTTGATGAACTGCTAGCTCATTTTCCACAGCCTGAAGATAAAAGTGTAAATATGAGTTTGTTATTCACCTTGTTCAGAATTGCTTTCAGAAGAGGGTGGGAAGCAACTCAGAAGTCTAGACAGGTTGTTAGTTGTGGTTTGTTTTTTTTTTTTCTTTAAGAGGAGGAAAAAAGGCAATTTTCTGTAGAGACTAAATCTTCATGTAAGTCATGTCTTTAAGGGGGCAGAACTGTTGCAATTAATTTCTTGGACAGTTAAATTCTTGTTGTTGTAATTTCTCTCTGTTTGAGGTGAGATTCTAATGAAAATGGGTTAATTTTGCAGCATTGCTGTCATAGATTCTGCTAGCCAAAGGGCGTGGAAGTATAATTCCCCTATAGTAGAGGAACTAGTAGAAGTATAATGGAAGCAGTGGAGCTCAGAGAGGGAACATGTTTTTGTGCCAGAGCACAAGAAGTTACTTGTGAGAAGTTGCTGAATTCAGCGAGAGAGACAGACACAGAGTCTAATCCTTACTGAAGAAGGTTTTCAAATGGACAGAATGTTTTTCAAGAACAGAAAGTTTTAAGTGCAGCATAGTCTCAAATCCCTTCACTAAATAAAGGGAGGATACTAGATTTTTACTAAAACTACCTTAGACAAAGTTTGAGAAATAACTAAGTCCCTTCGCTTGGTAAGTGTGGATGGGAAGAAGAAATGGGAAAAGAAAGCACTAAACTTGTAAGGTTACTCTGCGTCTGAACAGCTGGACAGAGCCATGACTTTACTTCATGAGTGAATACTGAACATAGAGTTCAACACTAATAATGCCACAGTAAATGCTGAGGTGTAGTTTCCTAGCAGGCATCACAGGGTCAGAGAAAGAGCTCTTTGGGACAAGAAAAATGTGACCTGGGAAATGGCAGTTTAATCGTAAGATGGTGGCAGTGCAGTATACAGACTTAGCAACTTTTTGATTAGCTTATATACAAAGGATATGGGTGCTATTTCCTCCTACACAGATCCTGATTAGGTATGTAAGTAATTGGTGTTAATGGAAGCTTGGTTGATTCAAGGTAAATACAAGGTAAAGAATGTCAGTGAAATGGAGTTCTGTGCATTGTGACAGAAACCGAACAATGTCTTTGCTTTTTGCCTTTTTTTTTTTTTTTTTTTTTTGACAAAGTCATGTTGGTTGCAGTTAAGGCCTATAGGAAACATCCATTTAGTCTAAGGAAATCACGTAGGGATAGAAATATGTGATAGCAGCTTTCTGAGGCTCTGGGCAGCAGCTTTGTAAGCTGCTAACATGACAATAGTAATTCCATGAAACCACACTCAATCTTTGTCAGCTAAATTTTAAATGTAACAAAAGATATTCTGCATGTTAAAGCACAGGTATTGTTCCCAAGGCAGCCAGAAGACCTCTAGACTTGAGTTTGTGGCTTTGTTGGATAAAACAAATGGAAAGAGACTGAGACAACCTGTAACTGTTATAGGTTGGTAATCTGTTTAGAAAGAGGCTTAAAAACCCCAGAAATTCATGCTTCCTGGCTTACAGTTAATGTAGGTGCTGTGGTTGGCTTCTGTCTCTTCTTGTGTTTAGATAACTTCGTGGCCTGACCTAGTAAGCTCAAGTCTTCAATTTGGGTCCTAGTATGCTGGAAAATGCAGTGCAGCTCAATCTGCTAGACCCAAGCTGGTTCCTATAGCATTCAGTCCGTGTGTAAAGCATTCTTCCAGCTGCCTCCTGTAGTACTTCTATTATCTCTCTCTCTCTTCCCCACCCCTGAAGTGTCAGATATGGAATTTGATAGTGCTATGAAAACTTTCAGTTCTTACTAAAAGTTGCTAACGTCAAATTAATTCGGATCTAAAAATAGAAATTCATCTACATGAAAACTCAGTTAATGAAACGGGTTTTTTGTTCTTTTATTACTTAGTGACACATACTTAAAGACTCTATTTATGTTGCATTACCATATGTAAGTTTTGCAAAAGTAGACTGAAACAACTAAAATAGAACTGTAGATCTTGATGTTTGAATCTTTACAGATTGAAGAAGGCGTTATGGTGATGGAAGATGATTCTCCTGAGGAGGCTATTAGTACCCCAAATACACCCCGCAACCTTGCCGCATGGAAAATTAGCATCCCATATGTAGATTTTTTTGACGATCCCTCCTTGGAAAGAAAAGACAGAAAGGAGAGAATTCCTGTGTTCTGCATTGATGTAGAGAGAAATGATAGAAGGGCAGGTATGCAGTGTTGTGTATAAATAAGATGTCATTTAAAAATGAACTCAAAATATTCTAGTGTGCTGTACTCTGATGGCTGTTGCAGTGTATTTTGCATACATGTTCTTCTGATTTTGAAATAATGACTTGAAAATTCTGAGGAAATGTGTTTGAGAACTAAGTGATCACATTTAGCATTTGCAAGTTGAGAAATGACTCCTTAGCACAGATCAGTTCCATTTAGACTTCATGCCAAAGTTTTTGAGATTTTCTCTTTCCAAAAATACTGATCCTACGATTCATATTAATAAACACTTGGCATACTTTTCTTTCACCTGCTCTGAACTTTGGAATAATGAACAATAAATAACTTTTATATAAACCTTAAAAAATAGTTCTTAGGAAATGAAAATGTTTTGCTTATTAGGAACCATTCTGGCTTGCAGATAGTTTATCAGTATCTAGGCAATACATCCATATTGAGTGGGGAAAATAGCATCATCCTGGGGCTGCACAGATTTCTGTTAGCGAAACTAGTACTTCCACAATAAGCAGGAAGTTTTTAAGAGTTATTTGGTGATATCTTCCAGGAGGGAGAATGATCAGGATTCAAGCTGATGGTGCAGAGGACTGTATTCAACAAGTAGCATTTCTGTAAATCATTTGGTTAAAAGTTTGAAAATAGTTCTAACATAGCCCTGATAAATTTTGAAGTTATGCAGTGCTCCATTGTTTAGATTTTAGGGATCCCCTAAATGAGATTATAATTTCCATGCTAATACCATGTCTGTCTACCAGGTGTGCATTTTAATTTAACACTTAAATTACCTGGCTGGGATTTTTTTATATTATGGCAATATATAATAATATCATTGAGGTTTTCCTGTAATAATCCAACATACATTTGCTGTTGCTTAATTCATCTCTCAAGTGGCATAAAACCTGGTTTATTTTTAATGTTGGTTTGGTTTTTTCCCCTGTAGTTGGGCATGAACCTGAACACTGGTCTGTCTACAGGAGGTATCTTGAATTTTATGTGCTTGAGTCGAAGCTAACAGAATTTCATGGTATGTTCTCCATCATCTGGAAAGCCACTTTCCCACTGCTGTGATTATCATTCAGTACTAAGGTGAAATTTAAAATAATGAAACCAATGTTTGCTGCATTACAAGAATAATTTAATCTCCTTTATATCTTTATTAGGTACTTTTCCTGATGCTCAGCTTCCCTCAAAGAGAATCATTGGCCCCAAGAACTATGAGTTCTTAAAATCCAAGAGAGAGGAGTTTCAGGAATATCTGCAGGTATCAAACAAGCTTTTGGAGCAAAAATATTCTAAAACTAATAATATAAAATTAAGAAAAGAATATCTGCTATTTTTTTTGTTTGTTTCCAAGTAACGAGTCATAGAAAGGATTGAAGTGGGAAATAAAGCTTGTTAAAGTTTCATGTGACTGAAAACAGAAATCTTTTGCAAATGACAATATCTATGGTAATGTAATGCTCTTTGACTATCTCTTTTTGCTATAGAGAAACTGATTTTTAAAGATTAGTTTTAAAGTACTTATACTTCTTTCTTTCCTTCTCTCTCAAAGAAACTTTTGCAACATCCAGAACTAAGTAACAGCCAGCTTTTAGCTGACTTCCTGTCCCCTAATGGAGGAGAGACTCAGTTTCTTGATAAAATGTTGCCTGATGTGAATCTTGGTACGTAATATGCTAGTTGTTTATGCTGACAAATAGTAATACTGTAGACACTGTGACTGAATGATAGTAGTATGAATAGATAACTCTTGTGTAAGGATATGGAGGTGGGAAATAAGAACTCTGCTCCTTCACAGCCCTTAAAATTATAGGTCAGCAGGCAAGATATGCTGAATCTTTTTCCTTGAAGAAAAAGGACATTTTGAGATTATGGAGAAAAGTGTTTAAGTGGTTGCTTTTGAATCTTTGTGTCAGCAAGCAAGGTGATAAGATTTCTTTAACGAATTTCATAGTTCAGGAAGACTTACAGTATTGTCACGAGTCAAATCTGCTCAAGACAGTCATTGTTTACAGGTGTGATGGTATAAACGATTTCTTAATATAAACTACCTTTGAGTGTTAGTTGATTAAAATCTGTTTATTTTAATCTGAAAACTGCAATATTTAATATTTCTAGTATTAGCTAGCATTAAGATCTCTTTTAACATGAGCAACTTAATAGAATTTGAGGTGGTGGTGTGTGTAATACAGGTAGACCAAATGGTAATTGAGAAGTTGAGAAATTCTTGATGTCTAATGTAACAGTTGGTAATAAATCCAAAAAGTAGACTGCAGTGTGACTTTCCAGCTTGGCTGCAATGTAGCTGTCTCAGGATAGTGGACCTGAGCTGGTAAGGTCAATGTCATGGCCATTCTGTCTTTGTGTATTGTAGCATTTGTGGTTCTGGCACCGGCGTGGTCCAGAAAAGCTGTGTCTGAACTGTGCCACTGCATTTATGCTTCTCCCGGTCATGGTGTGAACCTGCTGGGGTGACTGTTCTCTTAGGGTGCCTACTAAGTTGTTGAATGAGAGTTCAGTGGTCATCCTCCAGTTAAAGGGTTTTGTTTTCTTTCAGACTTCCCCTCTAGATCCAACTGTACAGTGTTAAAAAAAGCTTATAATTATGGTGTTTACTGTAATGCATCTCATGTCTGAGACTATGCTTCACTTCCCTAAACATCATTTTAACAAGTCTTGGCATTTCAGTAGGGCTTTTTGTGAGAATGAGCTATTTTTATTATTATCATTTGATCATTATACATACTTTCCAATGTAAGTTCCAAATTTAATGACATGTAGATAAGAAAAATAATACTGTAAATGTAGTGCTTAAAATAAAACTAAACACTTTCAGCATTCAGTTACCATGCTGTATCTTGATAGCCTTAACAGGACAGAAGAGCTGATTTTTAAGACCACAGCTGTAGCCTGTCCAATTTGTAAAACTTTACTCATGAGTATTTTCAAGACTGGATCCTTCCAGAATCTCCCCAGAT